TATATATATATATATATATATGTTTTTTAATAAGATTGATTTTTAGTAGTGTAAATTTTAAATGGTTTCCAGTGAGAGTTTATGATTAAAATATTGTAGTCATTTTAATGATTTTAGTATATTAGCCATTATTGTAAGGCGCCTTGAGATAGAATGTAAGGCGCCATATAAGAATCTTATTATTATTATTATTATTATTATTATCCTCATCTTCTAGATGATGTAGAAGCACTTGTGTCACCCAGTGATAATCGTTGTCGTCAAAGGAGGCGTGCACGTGAAGAGGTATTACAGTTATGCCCTCTCTTTCGAAAACTTCCCCGAAGAAGGAAGAAGTGGTATCTATAAAATTGAGAGAAACAATAAAAAGTTAATCGGGAACCACGACAATTATGTTTTACCGAAATGTTGGACTAAACGCTTTAGATACGGCTTACACACGTTTTAATGAATTGTGTCTTTTCATTATTAGCTTTCAGTGGATCACTTACCCAATATTTTATTAGACTTATTTGCTTTAATTTTCATTTTAATACTATATTCTCTATATTCATTCGCTATACGCAATATAATATTATTGCAAAAAGAGCACAACAAACCCTAATTATTATATAAATTACATATTTTTTGACATGTATTTAATCAATATAAAATGAAACGTTTTTACACACACTCATACTCAACTTACTTGATATTCCAACGGTAAATGTAAACTACTATAAGACCACAGGCCGCAGCAGCTATGCTACCAAGAGATGCTCCCAAGAAAAGCCACTGGTTTGGTGAAGTGATAACCTGTGGAAAGTTATCGCATTCCCTCTCAAGTCTACTCAGTTTTCTCTCTAAGCTTGTTTTAGGTCCATCCACGTAACAGGTGGAGTCGTTGGAGAATATTGTCGTCATGTTGGAGTGGATAATCAAACGGAGAAGTCCTATCCCGTCACAAACGTTGCAGTCCATGGGATTGTTGCTCATGTTCAATGTAACATTCAGACTACTGGCATTCACTTTCCTAATATGGTCCAACTCCGATGTCGAGAAGTCAGTTAGTTGATTAGTGCTTATATCTATGTATTCTATGGAAAGTAAGTTTGTCATGTTAAAAGATAATGTTGATATTCGATTATCGCTGAGGTCCAGACGTCTCAAAGAAGCAAGATAGTCAAAGAAGCCTTTTGGTATTGTGCTGATTTTGTTCACTGATAAATCGAGGATTTCCAAATGTGGGAGTTGTATGGGATGAAGACCACTTTTAGCAATCAAAGGACCTAAATTGTTGTCTTTCACATACAAGTATATCAGTGAGATGAAATTATTGAAAAAATTCTTTGGCAGGTATTGAATGCCGTTATGAGAAATATCCAGAAACTCTAGCCTATCTAAGCCATATAAAACGGGACAAAATTCTTTTACATTCAAATTCAGGTCCTCTATTTTGAGATATCTGACCTTGTTTGGATAGAAATAAAAATCTTTATTTAAATGGTGGCACTTTTCAAAAGTATCATCATCCGTGCCCCACCAGCTTGAAGACCAAAATTCGATATTTTTAGGCAAATGTATTTTCAAAATTGGACCACTAATATTAAAATTTTGTTGGGGACCTTCATATTTTTTCTGCAATGAGTTTTGAAGTTTGACTGGTTCTAAAGGTAGTTTTGGATAGCCATACCAAAATGAGTTTGATGGAACATTTAGGGCATTCACCACAAACTTGGGATAGACATTGTAGTCCATCCTAAAAAAGTAAGATTTGAGAGTGATAGAAATTGATGATATATAATATCCCAACCGCTTGGTTGTGTATTATTTTTTAATAAAAATAAAACGGTGTTACCAGACAAATCTAAATATTCTAAATGAGTTAGAAAATCAAAATTTTGAATGTCAATCCCGGTAATTCTATCATGAAGTAATTCTAGTGACTTAAGTGATGCGGATCCCAAACATTGAAAGGTGTCAACAGACAATTTCCACTCTTCCACAGTGCGTTTTCCATTTCGCCATGAGAATATGTTGCTCATGCGAAGCGTTTCAATGGCGGTATTGTTCAGGTCACAAATGACATTTTCAACCTCTCCGACAGTGCTAAACGATGCGCCCTCTATATCCAGTGTTTTCAAATGTGGAAATGAAGACATTGTGCCGTATTCTACGGTGTCAAGACTGCATCCGATGAAAGCTAGCCGTTCAATGGGACAATTTTTCACCGTGGCAAAAGAGTGTTTTCTAAGGTGTGCTACGGATCCATGACCATGAAACACAACTGTTTTAAGTGAGGTGAGATTTCTGTAACCGGGACCAAGTACCAAATCATGCTGTGGTAGTCTCGGAAAAAACACCTGTTGCAATCGATGTAAGGGGGCTAATGTTCGGTCTAAATAACCTTTTTGCACTTGCGCAGTGATGCCCATTTTTCCAAATATCAGAACTTTTAACTGCATTAGGTCCTGGAACAAGCTCACGGGGAATGCTTCATAATCGAAATTCGTATCCAAATGAAGGGGTGACAAATCCAAGTGTTCCAAAGCCCATAAACCTGCAAAACTATCTTCATGAAAGTGTGTTATGTAGTTGCCTCCGACATACAGTATTTTCAGATTTCCCAGTTGACTAAAAACGTGAGGTGGGATCTCAGACAGACCGGTGTAGCGTAGATCCAGAACAGTTGTATTACGTGGCATAGGTTTATCCAGGGACAAGGCACGGCTATAAGAGCAGTTGACAATTCCCCGTGATGAAGACGTAAAATTGCAATGGCATGGCACTGGACACTCCTGTGCCTTGCATCCGCCAATACTAAGAATGGCGTACACCAAACAACACAGATACGGCCATAAGTGACCTTTTCCTGGCATCGTGGAAACCTCTGTTAGCGACATTCGCGGCAATCTGGACTCCTTACATGCGAGCAGGGCATTATTTACATACCCAACACCAAGACATTACTGAACTGCCACTCATGCAGTTACATTCTGGTAGGCGCCTATTCATGTATATCGTATTACTCTTCCGCTTTGCTTGTGAGACCGACTCTGATTGATTTACATAAAAGTAGTACATTAAATAAAACATCTTCTCTTGGTTACTTCCCCGATATTTTTTCTTCCTGATTTTGTACAGACAAGGTTAAAATGTATTAAAAGAAACTTCAGAAGGCCTGTGAAAGGCTATAAAATAGCGTATAGCCTGTATAATAAACCTTGTGTTTACCTTGCGGTCCTTTGTGTTCACAACCACAAGTCCGAAGCCCACGAGTATGGAACATCAAGACCTCTTTTATTCTAGGATTTCTAAGATTTATTTAAGGAGTTGCTGAATAAAGAACGTATTGAAGAAAATTAAGAGTGAAATAAAATAAGGAACTCTTACCAAAAACAAAACCAGTATGGGGGAGAGTGTGTGTGATAGCACCGACCCCAAGAGAATTTTGAATACACTTATCAAACACTTTATTTTTTACATCTATTGTATTTTATAATTTTTATATTTTTTTCACTATTAAGAGTTCGGTCAGCATTCAATTTCTGATATATATATATATATATATATATATATATATATATATATATATATATATATATATATATATATGACCCCCATTAACTTGGAGAGCGCGTGCGTTTACAAATCTTTTGTTCGCCAACAGCTGTGGGGAATTCCCTCTTCACCAATCGAGCTTTATGATTGGCCGTCTTTGTTAAGACGCTACGTGCGTTCGGTGGGATCTCAGGCAGACCGTAGATCCAGTACAGTTGTATTACGTGATACAGGTATATCCAGGGGCAGGGCACGGATTGGGCTGTAAGAGCAGTTGGCAATTCCCTGTGACAAGGACATAAAATCACAATGACACAGCTGCAGACACCCCTGAGCCTTGTATCCACTAAGACTTAAAATGATATTCATCAAACACCACAGATATAGCCCAAACTAACCCTTTCCTGGCACTGTGGACATTTCAGTTATGACATTTATGGCATTCTGAACTCCCTAATTACACGTAGGGCACGTGTGTCATACGCAATGTACTGACACTCAAACTCTTCTCTTAAGAAGGCACTGAAAAATGGCGATAAGCTTTTTACAGGGCAATTTTTACCCGATAGTGTATATTTATGAAATAAAAAAGCCTTTGACTTGCATTATACAATATATCGTGTTACCCTTCCGCTTTGGTTGCGAAACCGGCTATGACTGGTTTAAACACAAGAAATTCAGTAAAATAAGTACCTTCTCTGTCACTTCCCCTATATGTTTTTTCTCCTGTCTTTGTACAGAAACATTATTAAAGGAAAGTTCAGAAGGTCTGTACAGGCCTTAAACTTCTTTATCAGTCTGCAAAATGGCGCTTTTTAACATTTGCTGAATACAGAATGCATCGTGGAAAATAAAGAATGCTTCGGGGCAGAGGGTGTGTGTGATTGCACCCAAAGAAATTTTTGAATACACTTTCTTATTAACCACTTTATTTTTACAACCTTAACTTCAAGAGTTTATTATTGTTATTATTATTATTATTATTATTATTATTATTATTATTATTATCTGAGTTAACATTATTATGCTTTTTACTGATATTATCATTTTGAAATTATTATTGTTATTATTATTAACAATATATATATATATATATATATACCAGTATGTATGGCTTCTACATATCAAAATTCATGCATTTAAAATAACTTATACTGTCGCACGTTTGTAATAGACCCTCAGAGGTGCTTTTTTTCTCCCCCTGTTCATGTTATTAAATTAACTCGGAGAACCAGTGAGTATACAAAATATTTTATTCGCCAACTGCTCCTGGGAATTCCCTTTTACCCATCGAATTTTATGACTGGACGGTCTTTGTTAAACTGGTACAACATAAGAATATTGTCTCTTGAATGTTAGCTGCAGCATTATATTTCTACTAGTAAGTTTTCAGAACTAATGTTCTATTTATTTTTATCAAATAGAAAATACAGTAAATATAATTAAAATGTGATATGCTCGATTTCACACACACATATCTGCACTCTACTGCACAAAAGTAATTACAGTGCTTTGTTGTATTATTTCTTCTCAAACTGACAAAGGGTTTAGTTTAATTCAAAATATTTCACACACTGTTACAACTTTCCACAATTATCTGTAAAGATGATATTGTTTAACTAACGCCTATTGGTGTATCTAGTGCTTTACTTCTATCCACAATTGCTAAACTATTTCAAGGTCAATAAGCAGATGTTTAGCTGCTTTTAAAGTTATTTTACAAAAGCTACAGTAAGGATTGTTTATATTTTACAGGTAGGAAATAAACTCTTTTCATCCTAGGTGAACCGTTTTAATCTCACTTCCTTAACATTAACAAGAAAATGTTTGTAAGTTTGTTGCCACTTACAAGTCTATCACTCATAACTTATTTCCTTTTTTTCCTTATCTAAGGTTTAAAATTGATTGAAATATTTTAGACATATTTCATGTAAACATGCACCCATAAAAGTCTATACATAATACAGTACTGTTTGAATTGTGCTTACAACAATAGTGACATTACATATTTGCAATCAGATATTACTTAATCCGTAGTTAAAATATGTATCTTCAACTCAGTTCTCAGACGCTGTGGCGTAACAAACTGCTTTTCATGGTCAAATACATTTTGAATAGAATGAAAACCTTGTGATTTACTTCTGTTTACAATGGGCAGGTTTGTTATCATAAGTTCTAAGCAAATAATTATATATATACCAAAACCATCAATGGAGTATATACTCAGCTACATGATTTCAGTCAATTCGTCTTCCTCGGGCTGCGCATGAATATCATTATCATCAAAGATGGCGCCGGAGAGGCGTTTCCAGAACAGACGTTGCCCATCTTGTTTCTCAGTCCACTTTATATACCCTCTTGCTCTAATGTATTTTCGCAGTGATTTCGTCATAGCATCAAATGGCACAGGCTGCAACATAACCGGGATTACTGATTGGTAACCACGAGCAAGAGACATCTGAAACTCAAACTCACACCAAGGGTTGAGAACGTAGCTCTCAGAGAGGACAAGCACTGTTTTCCTGCTGTTCTCCACGGCCTCTACAATGGCCTCGGAAAGGGAAGCGCCACAAATGAAATCTCTTTGATCTATGATGACATCAAGTTGATCCTCATCTTCTAGATGACGTAACAGCACGTGTGTCACCCAGTGATAATCTTTGTCGTCATAGGAGGCGTACACGTGACCAGGTGTTCCACCCATGAAACCTCTCTTTCGAAAATGGCGGCGAAGAAGGAAGAAGTGGTATCTATAATAGTGAGAGAAAAAAATGTACTCGGGAATCACGACAATCACGATATATATTTATATACCGTTTAGACACGTTTCGTTTGAATTGTATCTTTTCATTATTAGTTTTCAGTGGACCACTTACCCAATATTTTATTAGAATTGTTTGCTTTAATTTTCATTTTGATACTATATTCTATATATTCATTCGCTATACTCAATATATATTGCAAAAAGAGCACAACAAACCCTAATTTTTTTATAAATTATAGATTTTCTGTCCATTTTTTGACATGTATATAATCAATATAAAATGAAACCTTTTTACACATTCATACTCAACTTACTTGATATTCCAACGGTAAATGTAAACTACTATAAGGCCACCGGCCGCAGCAGCTATGCTACCAAGAGATGCTCCCAAGGAAAGCCAATGGTTTAGTGAAGTGATAACCTGTGGAAAGCTATCGCATTCCATCTCAAGTCTACTCAGGTTGCTCTCTAAGCTTGTTTTAGGTCCATCCACGCAACAGGTGGAGTCGTTGGAGAATATTGTCGTCATGTTGGAGTGGATAATCAAACGGAGAAATCCTATCCCGTCGCAAACGTTGCAGTCCATGGGATTGTTGCTCATGTTCAAAGTAACATTCAGGCTACTGGCATTCACATTCCTAATGTAGTCCAACTCCGATGTCGAGACGTCGGTTAGTTGATTAGTGCTTATATCTATGTATTCTATGGAAAGTAAGTTTATCATGGTAAAAGATAATGTTGATATTCGATTATCGCTGAGGTCCAGACGTCTCAATGAAGCAAGATAGCCAAAAAAGTCTTTTGGTATTGTGCTGATTTTGTTCACTGATAAATCGAGGATTTCTAAGTGTGGGAGTTGTATGGGAAGGAGACCACTTTTAGCAATCAAAGGACCTAAATTGTTATCTTTCACATACAAGTATAGCAGTGAGATGAAATTATTGAAAAAAATTTTTGGCAAGTATTGAATGCTGTTATGAGAAATATCCAGAAACTCGAGCCTATCTAAGCCATATAAAACGGGACAAAATTCTTTTATATTCAAATTCAGGTCCTCTATTTTGAGATATCTGACCTTGTTTGGATAGAAATAAAAATCTGTATTTAAATGGTGGCACTTTTCAAAAGTATTATCATCTATGCCCCACCAGCTTGAAGACCAGAATTCGATATTATCAGGCAAAGCTATTTTCAAAATTGGACCACTAAAATTATCGTTTTGTTGGGGACCTTCATGTTTTTTCTGCAATGAGTTTTGAAATTTGGCTGGTTCTAAAGGTATCTTTGGATGGCCGTACCAAAATGAGTTTGATGGAACATCTCGGGCATTCACCATAAACTTGCGATAAATATTGTAATCCATCCTAAAAAAAGTAAGGTTTGAGAGTGATAGAAATTGATGATATACAATATCCCACCCGGTTGGTTGTGTAAAATTTTCTAAAAAAAATAAAACGGCGTTACCAGACAAATCTAAATATTCTAAATGAGTTAAAAAATCACAATTTTGAATGTCAATTCCTGTAATTCTATCATGAAGTAATTCTAGTGACTTAAGTGATGTGGATTTCAAACATTGAAAGGTGTTAACAGACAATTTCCACTCTTGCACAGTTGGTTTTCCATATGGCCATGAGAATATGTTGCTCATGCGAAGCGCTTCAATGGCGGTATTGTTCAGATCACAAATGACGTTTTCAACCTCTGCTACAGTGCTGAACGATGCACCCTCTATATCCAGTGTTTTCAGATGTGGAAATGAAGACATTGTGCCGTATTCTACGGTGTCAAGGCCGCATCCGATGAAAGCTAGCCGTTCAATGGGACAATTTTTCACCGTGGCAAAAGAGTGTTTTCTAAGGTGTGCTACAGATCCATGATCATGAAACACAACTGTTTTAAGTGAGGTGAGATTTCTGTAACCGGGACCAAGTACCAAATTACGCCGTGGTATACCCGGAAAAAACACCTGTTGCAATCGATGTAAGGGGGCTAATGTTTGGTCTAAATAACCTTTTTGCACTTGCGCAGTGATGCCCATTTTTCCAAATATCAGAACTTTTAACTGCGTTAGGTCCTGGAACAAGCTCACGGGGAATGCTTCATAATCGAAATTTGTCTCCAAATAAAGGGGAGAAAAATCCAAGTGTTCCAAAGCCCTTAAACCTGCAAAACTATCTTCATGGAAGTATGTTATGTAGTTGCCTCCGACATACAGTATTTTCAGATTTTCCAGTTGACTAAAAACGTGAGGTGGGAACTCAGACAGACCGGTGTAGCGTAGATCCAGAACAGTTGTATTACGTGGCATAGGTTTATCCAGGGACAAGGCACGGCTATAAGAGCAGTTGACAATTCCCTGTGATGAGGACGTAAAATCGCAATGGCATGGCACTGGACACTCGTGTGCATTGCATCCGCCAATACCAAGAATGACGTACACCAAACAGCACAGAGACAACCTTAAGGGACCTTTTCCTGGCATCGTGGATACCTTTGTTAGTGACATTCGCGGCAATCTGGACTCCTTACATGCGAGCAGGGCATTATTTACATACCCCACACCAAAACATTACTGAACTGCCACTCATGCAGTTATATTCTGGTAGGCGCCTATTCATGTATATCGTATTACTCTTCCGCTTTGCTTGTGAGACCGACCTTGATTGATTTACATAAAAGCAGTACAGTAAATAAAACATCTTCTCTTGGCTACTTCCCCATTATTTTTTCTTCCTGATTTTGTACAGACAAGGTTAAAATGTATTAAAAGAAAGTTCAGAAGGCCTGTGAAAGGCTATAAATTAGCGTGTAGCCTGTATAATAAACCTTGTGTTTACCTTGCAGTCCTTTGTTTTCACAACCACAAGTCCGAAGCCCACGATAATGGAACATCAAGGCCTCTTTTATTCTACAAGATTTATTTGAGGATTTGCTGAATAAAGAACGTATTGAAGAAAATTAAGAGTGAAATAAAATAAGGAACTCTTACCAAAAACAAAACCAGTATGGGGGGGGGGGGAGAGTGTGAGTGATTGCACCGACCCCAAGAGAATTTTTAATACACTTATCAAACACTTTATTTTTACATCTACTGGATTTTATATATTTTTCACTATTAACAGCTCGGTCAATATTTAATTTCTGATATATATATATATATGACCCCTATTAAAATGCATTTATCCTGATGTTGAAACGTTACATGCGTTTTTGTCTGACCAAAATTAATCTTTAAGCGTTACCCTTACCCCTCCCCTCCAGGTTCAGCAGATGGCTTTTTCTTTTCTTCAGTCACCGTCAATGTGAACATTGTGATTTATTTAAGGGTCGGCACCAGCGAAAAGAGAGAGTGTGGTGTCTCAAAAATGTATATATGCAGGCTTCTACATGTAAAATCCATGTATTAAAAATAAGTTATACTGATACACAATTATAACAAATCCTCAGGTGCGTTTTTTCTCCCCCCACCCCTGTTCATGTTGAATTAACTTGGAGAGCGCGTGCGTTTACAAATCTTTTGTTCGCCAACAGCTGTGGGGAATTCCCTCTTCACCCGTCGAACTTTATGATTGGACAGTCTTTGTTAAGCTGATACAACGTTAGTGCAACATTATTTTTCTGTTAATTTTTTTTTCCTTTAATGAATTAATATTCTATTTATTTCTCATCAAATACAAAAAACAGTTAACATAATAAAAATATATACTCAATTCAACACACACACGCACATCCAAACTCTACTGCACAAAGATAATTACAACGCTTGATACGAATCTTGTATTATTTCCTCGCAAAACTGACTTAAGGTTAGGTTAAAATCAAAAGACTTTACACATTGGTACTACTTCCCACAATAATATCTAAAGGTTGCCGGTTATGTTACAACCTGAAGTAACCTTTTCCTGGCATCGTGTAAACCTCTGTTATCGACATCACCAGCTTTCTGAACACCCTAGATGCGGATAGGCCACGATTTATATACCCAAAAATATTACTGAGCTGCCACTCATGCAGTCACATTATTTAATATATCGTATTACTCTTCCGCTTTGCTTGTGAGATCGACTATGATAGGTTTATGCAAGATCAGTTACTTAAATAAGATACCTTTTCGTGATTACTTCCCCCATGTTTTTCTTGATGCTTTTAAAGAAAATTCAAAAAGTCAAAATAGGCTTTATAATGTTAATCTAGTTAGAATAAACCCTGTGTTTACTTTTCTCTCGTATGTGTTCACGACCACAAGCAAATGGCCCGCGAGAACGTACCATGAGCTTTTATTATTGTGCAAAATGGTGTTCTATTTAAAACATTTGCTGAATAAAGAATGCATTGACAAAAAATAAAGAATGTATGAAATAAAACGAGTCAACCTTACAACTGACAATATGATATGATGAAATGTCTATAAATGAAAAAAAAAAAAAAACGAAAGATGTTCTCTGATAATTAAAAGCAGTGGTCAGAAACCAACAACTTGAAAATTAAACGGGTAAGATTAACACCCGTTCAAATCTTAATAATAATAATAATAATAATAATAATAATAATAATAACATTAGTCTAAAATACATACAAATATGTTTACTAATAAAATACAATGGTAATGGGTTACAAGCAACGGTCAATTAAGTGTAAAGAGAAACGATGACCAATTATAATGTTCTGTATTAACTTTATTCATTCATGAATTTTGTAAAATTATGATTTTTTATTTCTATTTTTTTAAATCATCTACCGTGAGTATCGAGATATTTGCTCTTAGCATTATCCACTCTGTCGGGGCAGTGCAATGTAGGGCTGACTCCATTTAATTTTTTTTTTTACGAAAGGCATCTGTTGGCTTATACATAAAACACTCCATACAATAACTCTGATCTTACGATGTGAACTCAAAACTAGTGTCCTTTGTATCAAGCTGATACGCGAATTGAATGCCATTCCTACGTGATGAAAATTCAAATTTTACTTTGAATACAAATGCGCACATCAAGCGTGTCCTGCACACAATACCCTGCTAACATTTTCTTTAGCTAAAAGAAACAATGGCATCTTTTGTTGATATCGCAAAACCCCGGGCACTCTATTTGTCACAACAGGCCTGCACACCACATCGTCTAATAATATGCAACTAAACTAAAAGTCTGCTGTGTAACAGAGGATAATGCAATCTACTGGCTGATGTGTGATTATCTTTGATGATATGTGATGTGCACCACGAGCTTCAGATGCCATGCGTGTCAGCGTCTTCATTTTTTTAAATCTCAAAACATCTGATACGAAGCAGATGTCATCAAGCATATGATCTGAAGATCAGGATGTCAAATCACGGCACATCAATTAT